AAGGGTGAGTACCGCACCAGGGGAACAATCCTGTCCCTTGGAGTTGCTGAGCAGCTTGGAGCCGGAAGGGTGGTGCTACCCAGACACAAGGTGTTTCATCCCTGTGATGATACAGCTCTCATTAACCTGGCAGGAATCTTGCTGAATGACTGTAAAAGATTGCTTTTGCAATAACCAGGCGTATTATTTATAATAAGGTCATTTGGTGACAGCCCATTGTGGGGTGAGATCACGGCGATGCATCCCTGAAACTGGAGCACAGTGGAAAGCTTCAGTTCTGCACGGACTGTTGGACAGTGCTAAAATCTGTTGTGTTTGGACTTGGAGCCTAAAGCATCTCTTGTGCTTTGATCCCTTTCTGCCTTTCCTAAGGAGAAATGCAGGCAGTGGAGATGCAGTTTAATATATGCATCTGTCAGAGAGGCAAGGTCAAAAAAAAACCCAAACAGGCTCGTGCTGCGAGCAGGACGCAGAAGTCTGGAGCTGCAGCGTTGAACTCCTGGGAAGAATAAGGGCAGGTTATTGCAGATGGTATTTGTCTGGTTCAGCGGTGACATTACTGGTGGCTGTCTACGTGCCCTGGTCCTTCATCACTGCCCAGAGTGATAGCATGATGGCACGTGGAGAAATGCAGCACTGGCAAAGGACATGGGAAGCACCAATTGACCTTGTGCTTGACAGAGAGGGAGAGGGAATTGTGAGCTGTGCTGGTGAGCTCTTCAAGGGCTGGGAAATCCTGGGGCACAGCTGACTGGATAAATCCCAGTGACTGAAATCAGTGAATTTAACCATGGCGTAGATGGCTACCCAACACACAGATCCATTTTAAAACTAGATCTATTTTAAAAATTAATTTCAAGCTAGTGTTGCTTTTGTACTTTACAGTTATTTTCTGAAACAGAGGGCTTTTTCTAATTGTTGGGTCTGTAGGCTTGTTTGTTTTGAGTAAATAGAGCCTTGCTGTTGAAATTGGTATTAGCTTTAGTTATAAGGTTAACTGGTTATAACTAGAGGATCGCTGTATGCATTTGAAGGTATCATTTTAATAGGTGCCTATTCAATTTTAGTACTACTTTTTATTTTTAAAAAGGTGAAATGACATTTGAATAGCTGTGATTTTTGGCAACTTGTGTTTGGGTGGAAATGAAATTAAACGAAAATGTTTTTCTTGCACACCCAACCACATTCTGCACTGCCTGGATGGGACTGCTCTTCCAAACACGTCTTGTAGTTAAGAGATATATTAAACCAAAGTAAGTATTGCAGTTGGACTGACTTCCTTCCAGGCGCCACAATGTCTTTCAAAATTTTAGAGATATGAGGCCTTGTTCTTTCACCTTGTTTCAAGCCAGAGAAACGTCGAAAGCAAAAATGGGGCTTTCCTGTGTTTTGGGACATTTGAGACACCTGGGAAGGGGTTTCCCTGCAGAAGCTGGGTACTCCAGACCAGCTCCTGGTCAGTGACTCCCAGCACTGCAGTCCTCTGCCCTGTAGTTGAAAACATTTCCAGAAAAAAAAAAAACCAACCCTGAAGAATTGCATCTTGCATGAAAGAAAATAGCCTGGAGTTTTTAATCAGCCCTTTGCCCTTGACCAAAGAACAGATCTGTCTTGTGCTGCAGGCTTCATCTATGGGCATGTATCTCTTGTTTTAGCAGCAGTGTCTGTACCCCAGCTCCAAAACGATGCTGGTAACACTTCGACCTTGCTCCACATGTGGCAGCAAGGAGCTGGGGAAGTAACAAGGACAGGCCAGGTCCTGCCACCAAGCTACCAGAGTCCTCCTGCAGCTTCTGCCAGGTCTGTGCCAGACATCCCAGACTGGCGTGCACTGCACAAGAGATACAGTGTTAAGGTATGTCAATAATGAGACCTGTTTCGTTAGCTTCGCTGGTGTTTATTCCTCCCGTCAGTGGGCTGGGTCAGGAGCAGCTGCTGCAGGCACGGCTGATGGAGTGGCTTCATCCACAGGGTAGGAATGGGCCGGGAAGCGCCGGAGCTTGCCGAGCAGGTCCAGTGTTTCTGAGCCTCAGGGCTGGAACATGGACAGGCTGAGCAGCGAGTTAGTCATCGCGGTCAACCAGGTTGCGGCTGGTCATACATAAACCTTTCCCCAGCGAGAAGTCCCAAACAAAGAGCTTTAGCACCCAAGTCTCCTTATTTACCCATCTTAATCCTGTGCCTCTTTTGCTTCTCTCACGAGCAGCACCTTGGTCACTGGCTTACATGGAGAGACGAACAGAAGCAAAGTTGTTCGTGTGCGCACGTGCTCGACCTGGCGGTTAGCCATGCAGAGTGAGGAAATTAAAACCCCACAGCCGTGGACACAGTGAGGTTTTGTCAGCTTTCAGGGGTGCACAGGTTCTTGAATCGCTTCCTTCCTCTTATGGGCTTTTCTCATTAAACTTGGTGTATTTTATAAGTATTTTTAAACCTCTTGCGTTAGAGAGGCCAGGCCAGAGTTTGTGCTCGCTTACAAGAGGCTGTGTAAAGCCAGGGTGGGGAACCCTGCTCCACAAATGTTAGTTACTTAAACAGGGCTAGCACTTGTGGCCTTGAGCTCAGTCCCCTCTTTGACCGTGGGCTGCTTTGTGGGCTCCTTTGTGAGTCCTAGCAGTCTCTACTCCTTTTGCCAGATACGCCCCGTCCTACTGCATGCCCACAAGGAAGCTGCTGCTGATTTTGCACGTTGAGGGAGCACGGGCTGTGCCCTTACTGTGGTCCAGCACTTGCTGCTGTAGCACCGGTAGAGCTGCTGTCTTAAGTTCCATGCTTGTCCTTACCAGCTTGCTGCTATAAAATATCCATCCTCTTGCTTTGATTACCTTATTAGTTTCTGCTTCTTCCCCCTCTCTCTCTTGGAACATCATCTTAGCCCTCATCTGCCAAGCAAGCCCTCTTATTCCTGCCTCTATCCCCACCACAGTCTGGCTCCTGTTTGGCTGTCTCAGGTGCTGATCTCCTTCTGCTCGATGCCAGCACAGGAGGTGGAGGTAAAGCATGAGATAAATTAATGACTGAGGTAGCAGAGAAGGGAACAGAGCAGCAGAGTATTTGCTGGTATTTGTGGCACAGCTCTCAAGTCTTAGAGCCTCTGGGATGTTTTACATGTGGATTTGGGTTAGTAGAAGAGATTGATACTGACCTTTACCCATCTTGAGCTAACAAGTCACTGTACAAGTATATATGTGAGGTTTTTTTCCATGAGCTGTAATAGTCCATACCATTTCACTTGCTGCTCTTGCTCTGGGCATTGGAAACCCTGCAAAATCCAGGACAGCGGGGTTTGTCCAGGCACAGTGAACAGCATGGGCAGGGGTTCAGGCACACCTAAGCTGACCAGGACAGAGGCTCTCCAAAAGTAGTCCTGCCATTGCCAGGCTGGAGCAAGTCTTGGAAGCAGTTCGACTGGATGTTTGCAGCACTATTTTAAATTGGGAAGCTCAGGCAAAGCAGACTTGCCCCTGCACCTGAGGCACACAGTGCCATGAGCTGACCACACGCTAAATGTTTGTGATTCCCAGTCGTCGTGCAGGCAGGCACGCACAGCGAGCAGCTGGGTGGTCAAGCTGGTTTTAAAAAAATCTTGTAACAGCATTTGTGGCAGTTGAGTATGCTTTTGTTTAAAAAGGAAAAAAAAAAATCCCGCTTGCTTATGCATCTTGTGTAGAGCCCAATTCCTCTCTTTTTTTCATGTGTCAGGGATTTTGCTCTCTAAACTCCCAGCAAGTTGTATTTACTGGGTGTGAGAGCTCTGGGCCTAGAAGGAGAGGCAAGGCACTGTTGGGAACCATGAAAACCCTGAATGCAAACAACATTTTTGTTAATAAGCTGCCTAGACATGAAAGGGTGACGAAGCTTTTTGTAGAGGAGTGCAGAGGAGAAGAGAAGGGCTTCTGGGATGACCTGGAGAGTAGAGGACCTGCTGTGCTAGCTTGTTTGTCCCAGCAAAACAAAGCTCAAATAGGAAAATCTTGCTTAAGTAGGGAAAAAGGGCAGTTCTGCACAAGCTCAGATCGGCATAGGCTGGTGTGAGTCAGATTAGCCTGGAAATTAGGGAAAAAAAGCTCTGAACCAACAGAGAGAAGTAATTAGAGCAAAGACCTATGTAATTCAGAAGAAGGTAAAATATTGTATAGCGTCTGCAGGAGTCAGAAGTGGAACCAGAGATGCAAGAAACCCCTTCCAAGCCTTGCTCTGTATGGATCAGAAAGGCTCTTCAGAGGATATAAATGTGAGCAGGTATAGCAGAGCTGGTGAAAGTGAACCTGCAGAGATTTAAAGAAGATGAGCCCATATGAGCCTCTAGGTTATAGTGAAGGTGAATGGCTCTGAGCATAAGCTGAAGATACATGATGGGTGCCCGAGAAGAAAAGTGCGTGGGATTTAACCTGTAAGCTGGTCATCGGTTCAGAGGAAGAGCTAAGGAAAAGGAAACAGGCAGCCACATCACCCAGCTTTTAGTTCTGCAGAACAATTGTGGTCCAGAACTCGGGTTGAGCCTTCGCAGCTGTGCTTAGGGTGTCCCGAGATCAGATGGGTGATGTGGGATCAGTGATTGCCAGCTGTTAGGGGCAGTGTGTTACCTGAAATGGGGCCATGGGTGAGCATTTTCTGCCCCGAGCAGCTGCTGGGGGAAGCAGATCTGGGTTTGAAACATGTGCATGCAGTTGAATACCAAATTGATTCATCTTAAACATGTGGTTCTGTGGAGCTGGTCATTCTCTGTTAGCAGTCTGGAGACCACCCACTCTTGGGCTGTAATACTGCTTTGTCTTTACCTGGTTGACCACTCATGGTGGCTTACGAGGCTGGAAAACTTGATTCAAAAGTTTGAATTTAAAAGACAGGCTGCTGTCCTGTTTGCAAATGGAAATTATCTGACTTTTGGCCCTCGGTTACTGCTGGGCTGGCGAAGCCATGCTACAGTGAATCATCTGGACTGTGCAGTTGGTGGTGGATGGTGCTGATCTTCCCTCCTTCCCCTTTTCTCTCTTTAGGTAGGGGACCATAAATTCAGTGCTCACCGGATCGTGCTGGCAGCTTCTATCCCGTATTTCCACGCCATGTTCACCAACGACATGATGGAGTGCAAGCAGGATGAGATTGTCATGCAGGGGATGGATCCCAGGTAGTGTCCCAAGGCACGCAAGTGAGGATATCCAGAGGGACAGCGAGTGCTCTGCAGGCCTTGGCGTTGTGTGTGCAAGGCTTGAAAGCCTACCCTCTGTGTGAATGGTGCTAGAAAAGGTTTTTCTTTTAGTAGTGTCCCCTGCTAGGTTAATTGTTAATAAATTCTGCCCTTTGTCCCCCTTGTTTAGTGCACTTGAGGCTCTGATCAACTTTGCCTACAACGGTCACCTGGCAATAGATCAGCAGAATGTCCAGTCTCTGCTGATGGGGGCAAGTTTCCTTCAGCTGCAGAACATCAAAGACGCTTGCTGCACTTTCCTCAGAGAGAGGTAAGGGGTTGTCTTTCAGCTATGCTTAGTGCTCCCTAACAGCAGCAAGGTTTTATTCATCTGTGCCTGGCTTGGGAGGAAGTGGGATGTCTCCTGCCAGCATGATAAGGAGGTCTGCATCTCCCAAGACTCGCCATTCTCGTTGCCTATAAAAGGACTTATCTGGTTTATGAGATGCTACAGTTGGCGCACGATAAAAGGCCTTCGCCAGCCGTGGGAATTAATAGCTAGAGCAAAACTGAGTGAACATTTCCCTTTTTCAGAGTTAGCTAGCTGGTTACCCATAACTATTGCGTGACTGCTTCTACCGCTAACAAACCCATCCTTGCAGTAATTACCCTTTCTGCTGCTGCATGTGTAGGAGGGGAGGAACAAAGGGACTTAGCCAAGGAGCTGGACAGGAAGCTGTGGCAGAGCCTTAAATTGGTCCCAGGTTTTTCAATTCCCTCGCTGGTGTTTGGCTGTAAGATTGTTCCAGCAGCATGATCTGGAAGCGGAAAAGCTGGGCTGTTCTTTGGAAACGTACCACATGCATCTTCAGATCGTGCCAGGGAGTCTTACGTGTTGAATTCTCCCTCCCTTCCCCAGCTTGGTTTCTCTGCAGCTGTTCAGTGTATTCCATGGCGTGATATTAAACATACCTTCCAAATAAATGGAACATCTCGGCGAGTTATTTTTCTTTACCTCTAAATAGAGGTATCCTAAAACCATGGGTTGGGGAGAAAAAATGTTTTTCCTCTGTGTTTAAGATGTCTCAATTTTCAGTCCCCTGTGCATCCTGAGTTTCTGCAGTTTGTTTAAAATTAGGTTTTATAAGATTGCAGAGTATTCATTTTTCTTGCAAAAACATTTTATTTGAGGTACTGGATATGACACCAAGCTGGAAAGAGATGGGTTGCATTGATTTTTGAGTGCCTGCTAGCTTTAGATGGTTGTATCTATATCTAGATTAAGCGAGGTGATTTGATTTCTGAGATTTAGCTGCCACAGTTCTCCCAAATCTACCAGGAGCAACTAGGTGTCCCAAGTTAAGTCCTGGATTTGAGTGTGCAGCTGTCACTTTGGTTAATAACCAGAAAATTAGTGGACTCTGACCATCCTGAAGAGCTGGAACATGCACGCTGAGCTCTCATTCTTAAATGGAATTAAGATTTGGGATATTTTTAGGCCCCTGTGCACAGACAGATCCATAATGCTGTAACCAAGCCCAGTGCAAGCCCTGAGAGTCATCCTTGTGTGTAAGTCCCCCCCCATCAGTGCTACGTATTTGCTCTTAGCACAGCATAGAGCAGTAACTGAGGCTGCTTTCTCCAAAGTGGACACAAGCGATGTCACATCCTTACGTGCACCCAGACACCACTGTCAACAGCTGGGCCTGGTTTTTGCAGACCATTAGACACTGACACCATCAGAGTCCAAGGTATATTCCCCATGTAGGTAGCATTTAATTTAGTATCTGATGATTAATGCCACAAAACACAACTATCAGCTCGTGTTGAATGGTGACATGCCTGTATCGGGCAGGGCTTCTTGTTTGGTCAGGAGTGTCCAGGACACTTAACTTTTTCTGTAGGGCACATGGTTGTGGCAAATACCATCTTCTCCAGCTTCTCCATGCCACTGAGCAGCTTTATGCAGCTGTTTGGCTGTTCTGGAGAGAGGCTTGGATCTGCAGAGGTACTTCTCACTGTCTAACTTCCAACTACAAAAGCATCTTTGGTGATAAAGCCTCCTTAATCACAGGAAATGGCTTTATGAAGCCGTAATAGATGCTGTTCTGTAGTACTTAGAAAACACGTAAGATGAAAAACAGTGACTGATGGTTGGTATTTGCACAATGTGCTTCAATCCAGCTTTGTCCAGTACTGGAGTTAGGAAAAAAAAAAAAAAAAGGTGCCAGATGCACAGCCCAGGCACCCTGAGATGTGGGAGGGAGGGATTGCTGTGCAGAGCCTCTCGCTTCCCCTCAACTGACAGTCTGCAGCCTTCACACAGAGCCAGCTGAGTCTGTCCAGTGGCTCCTCAGCCAGGTCAGAGGGGAGAGTTTTAAGTTGTGGTTTCCATCCTCTGGCTCTGCTGTGGGTTCAGCTTCAGATCTCTATGTAGATATGTTCATCAGTGAGCTGGAACCTGCCATTGTTGAAGAGGACACAGCTGTGGCTTTCACTGCATCACGTATCCTCTGAGGCTTGTATTGCTTCACTCAACCTGTTTGTAATTCTTTCTATCCTTTCATTAAACTGACATTACTTTTGCTCTCCTCTTCCCCTCTTTCCCAGGCTTCACCCGAAGAACTGTCTGGGAGTGCGGCAGTTTGCAGAGACAATGATGTGTGCGGTGCTTTATGATGCTGCCAACAGCTTCATTCATCAGCACTTTGTGGAGGTATCCATGTCTGAAGAGTTCCTGGCACTGCCTTTTGAAGATGTCCTGGAGCTTGTTTCTAGGGATGAGCTCAACGTGAAGTCTGAAGAGCAGGTGTGTGCCTGGTGTAGGTCTCAGAAGAGGTAGTTTTTCCTTTGGAGGGTTTTTTTGCTGCTTGAGAGTGGAATGGGATATGACCCTATTCCTGGTCTGAATGAAGCTGAGATGTCCTGGCACAGTGCTAGGCAGAGTTATGATGACTCCCTGAGCCCCAGTTGTTGTCTGTGCTGCCAATGTTACCGTGCTCTGAGAAATGCCTGGTAGAGTTTCTCAGACCGTAGATTTAGCAAAACATTGTTTTAAGGTGTTTTGATTCATCGGTGACAGAGGTGGAACCTGTTGGGTCCTAAGGACCTTCAGCTGTGCCCCTTACTGTCAGTAAGTTGCTGGTCCTAAGGAAGAGAGGCTGAGGGAGTGGGCAGTAGCAGGGAGCCCTTCCTCATGGAGTTCACGTTCAAGTCCAAAGGAGTGCTTTTGAGGTGTAAAGAATTTGCTGTGAGTGCTGCAGCATTTTATAACAAACGTTCCACTGAGTTTGCCATCAAGATGCTCCTTTAGACTGGCTTGTCCCTAGAAAAAAACAGAAAGCAGTGCTGAGCAACCTTTGGACGTTTCAACAGCCTTGAGAATCTATCGGTGCTGGGCTGACAGTCTGCAGGAGAAACAGAACCTGTCCTTGAGCCAGGAAATCTGTCCTGCTCTTTCTGAGGAGGTTACTAAGGAGGTGACAAATGAAAAGCAGACCTACAGCTATCTCCATGTAGGGTAAGAGAGTGCTTTGATAATCAGGCTGTCTGAAATGCCCCTGAAATGGGGAGCGAGGGCAACCTGCTTCACATTCCAGCCACGTTGCTATATCGTACCACAAATTTGTCTCTTGCTGTTCTTCCCAAGTGGATCTTTTGTGGAGCGGGTAGGAGTCCAAAGAGTCTGTCCCTGGTGACATTTCCTCATGCCCTGGCATCTGCCAGCCCCCTCTTCAGAAATGGCAGTATTTTAGTGCAGTGCAGCATATCTGCTGATCATAAAGCACCTTGTAGAGTGGAAGTAAGTGTGGGGGGAGGTTTAAGCTCACCATGGTGCTGTTGAAGAGGTACTTTTGCACTGAAAGCCTCAGGAGAGATGATATGAGAGACTCCAGATCTCCACTGTAAAAGAAGGACTTCATAATTTTGTTCTGGTCAATGGTACTGCTGGACTTTTCTCCACCACCACAGGTTACAATAAAAGACCACCCAAAGTGAGCGTGTAATCTGGTTTAGAGGGCAGCTATCCTGCGAGGTGGTGGCTGTGACTACAGTGACCAGTTCTCCTGCAGCTTCTGGGAGACTGCTGTGGGTTTGTGATCTCCCTGAGCTGAACCTGTAAACAGAGATGAGGCTGCAGTGTGTGATGTTGGTTTTGGAGTGCGACCCCTGATCAGTGTGACTGGTGGGGACACTGTGCTCAGTGGGAGCTCTGCCTTGGGTTACAGTGACAGGACTTGGATGTAGTCATCTGGATGTAAGCGCAAGAGTGTAGAAGGACAGCCCAGCCCAGGCTTTAACTGTGAGAGTCCTGTGAATCAAGGAGTACGTGTCTGCAACTAAACTAGTCACCAGGCTCCTTTTGTAATCTGGAGTCATCCAAAACAGGGCAGGTGAACGGTGCTTTGAAGAGGTCTGCCTCTCCAGTGTCTGCGAAGGAAGCCTAGAGAGGCCAGCTCAGCTCTAGGCATCTACTGTGTAGTTATCCAAAGTTAACTGATGGATCCCTCTCATCAAAACTGTCTTCTGGTTTTTCACAGAGCACGACCATTCTCTTTTCTTCTTCCCCAGTTTGCTGATTTTTGACACTACATAACCAAGGTTTTGCATTCTGTCCCACCTCCCCTAAGAAAATTCTGTTCCCCACTCCCTCATCTCCCTGCAAATGTTCATACTAAACATATCGTCGCATGGGACAATAGGTCAGTATTATTGCAGACTAAGTCGGAGGCAGAGAAAGCAATGCCAAAGCCAATCCACCCAAGCATCATGCGACAGGAGAGCCCTTTGGTGCGCTGTAGATCGTTGCCATTCTGTCATGAAACCGTGTCATCTGAGACCAGGGGAAGATTGTTGTCAGTATGTGGTTTCTTTTCCATTGGAAAACTGGAAAAAATAAGAACCTGAAAAAAAAAAAAAAAAAAATAAAAAATCCCAAAACTCCAACTTCCCATGTCTTTCTTCCGGCAGGTATTTGAAGCTGCATTAGCTTGGATACGGTATGACCGAGACCAGAGAGAGTCGTTCCTACCTGAGCTCCTGTCCAAAATCCGCCTACCCCTTTGTCGACCTCAGTTTCTCACTGACCGTGTGCAACAAGATGACCTGGTCCGCTGCTGCCACAAATGCAGGTGAGGCTTGGACATGCGGTTAGAAAATCACCCAGTGGATGGTGGCCCTCAGTGGGGTGGAGGTAGCAGGAATGTGGTTTAGCAGTCTTGGAGAATGAAATTCTCTCTTTGTGTGGACAGAGCACCTCACATAGCAAAAAAAACAAAGCACCTTCCCCAATTTTAATGTGACAGCAGGGCCACATTGCCTTCTAGAAGTATTGGCCATGGGAGGGGGAAAGTCAGTTGCTTAAATCTTCATCTGACTTAAGACAGTCAGATTTCATCATATCAGCAAAGCTCTGTAATTATTTGGCTTTGATTTCAGGGATCTAGTTGATGAGGCAAAAGATTATCACCTCATGCCAGAGCGCCGGCCACACCTCCCAGCATTCAAGACACGTCCTCGGTGCTGTACATCGATCGCAGGATTGATTTATGCTGTTGGAGGACTTAATTCAGCAGGTACCTTGCATATCTGCTCCCTGCAGTGGAGAGAGCTGGGTGGGACAATGGGATCATGAACTTCCCTCATGTCAAGTGTTGAGCAGTTTTCCTCCTCTATGTAGCACTTTGACCCTTCCGGTGAAATGCTAAAGGTGGCTGTGCCCATAGTTTAACATCTTCCAGGTAGAAACTCTGTCTACATCAAGTTTATTTAGGACAGTATTATTGCGTATCTTAAAGAATCAGCATTTTGAGGGTGGTGTCCTTGCCGATAGCAATAAGCAAAACTTGGAAGTATCTAGGTGACGTTGTTGGGGTTGTGGGATCACGCGTGCAGACACAATGCGCTTGCATAAGCCTAGCCACAGTGTAAAAAGGGGACATAAAGTGTTCACAAAACTATCGGCTGGAGCCTCAACCAACCTCGTTAACCTGGGATGTAGGATCTGAATAGCGGGTGTATGCTGGGCACTGCCTCGTGGGCTTCACACCCCAGGCACACCGCAACACGGCTGATTTATCCTGTAGAGGAGCTGTGTTCACTGGAAGCAGCGACACTGACAGATGTGACATTGCAGGTCTCTGCTGCCCCTGTGAGGTTGTAAGAGGTCCGGCTTCCACAGCCAAGGACTTGTCAAGTCTTTTAGTACAGAGCATGGGCAAGCTCTGAAACACTACAATCCTTTTGCTTTGCAGAGTGCAGTTTATATGAATTTTTCAGAGCAGGCTCTCATTAGAATAGAAATGTGGCTGGGAAATGCCTCTGACTTGACCCTGATGTGGGAGCAGGGAGGCTGGACTAGGATATGTGAGAGCTCAGAATAGGACTTGTGAGATCCTGGCCGTTTTCCCGGAGAAGAGCAGGCAAAGTCCCTGTGTCAGCCCCGTCTTTGGTGTCAGAGCAGCGACCACTTATCCCTCGCATGCCTCTGCTACAGGCAAGCTTGCTAAAACAGTGTTTTATCAGATCTCCCTCTTTTAATTTGAGTAGCAAATTTTTATGCAGGTGACTCGCTGAATGTGGTGGAAGTCTTTGATCCCATTGCCAACCGCTGGGAGAAGTGCCAGCCGATGACGACGGCCCGGAGCCGAGTCGGGGTCGCAGTGGTGAACGGACTGCTTTATGCCATCGGTGGCTATGATGGTCAGCTGAGGCTGAGCACTGTGGAGGTTTACAACCCGGAGATGGATTCCTGGTCCAAAGTAGAAAGTATGAACAGCAAGCGAAGGTACGTTCAGCTCGCTCAGTGGGAAGGGGACCTTTGGAGCAGAAATGGGAAAAAAAAATGTGAGGTTGTAGGAAAGTTATAGGTGTTGGGTGGTGGTGGATGCCGAATGAGAATTTCATGTGTGGGGAAGGAGCAAAAGAAAAAGGAGGAATGGAGCAGTATGGAAGAAGACGGGATTTGCCTGGCCACATTTGGGGCAGGCAAGTTGTGCTGATTCTGGGCACTGCTTGCTGGTAAGAGAGGAAAACTGTTCAGCAGCTCAACAAAGTTATACCTGTGCACACAGCATTGATTTACAAGGAAAGCCATTAAGACCTCGGTAAGTAAAAAGCAGCTGAGCAGCAGCATGGGCTCTAAGCTACAGAGATCTCTCAGTTTTGGTGGCATCAAGGAGTGAAATCAAACTAAAAAGAGAGTTTGAACTGGAGTCCCAAAGGAGGTGGTCAGAGCCCCATTTCTTCATGTTGTGATGCTAGATGGTGGGTGAAGCACTGGCAAGCACCATGTAGGAAACTCCTGTACTGCTAGGAGTCAAATAAACCCATTTTACCATCTCTGTCCAGTGCTGGCATCTCCTTTCCCTACCAGAAAGCATAAGTGAATCACAGCTAGGAAGGAGAGGAGTATTTTTATTGTCCAGGGAGAGGAGCTTACAGCTAAGCAGAAGGAGTTTGTGCTTGATGAACAGAGCTGCACGCTTCCTGACCGGCCTAGGGGCCACTTTGTGGTTGGGTTTGGGAGCTTACCCTGCATTATTTTGAAAACCCACCTATTAAATTGTGTGGTCATCCTGCCCTCCCCACCATAACGTGGTGGCTGCTTCCATGTTTAAACATATTCCTGGCATCCAGGGTTTCTGCTGCAGTTTCCTTTGCGCTCATGCCCTGTCACTAAGACTTGTTAAATTGTTCGCTTTTCTGCAAGCTTTGCAGCACTTCTTTACCATAATGCTTTGTTTGACTTGGTTTTTTTGTGGTCTGAGACGTTGATCGCTGGGAAGAGCACACTGCAAGCAGCTCAATACATGAAATCCTGGGTACAAGGCTCCAATTTGTAGGGGAAAAGCTCATTTTTTTCTGTAGCAATGAGGTTCCTGGGAGCTTTTCCCACACTGAGAGGCAGTTGCTCTTCCATGATTGGGTTGTTCTGCCTTGAAGCCAAGCAGAACGGGTGTTGGATGCTCTTGTGTGGAGGAAAATGTCAGTTATTGTACAAACTGCTCGGCTCCAGCTGTAGTACTGGGGTTTTATCGCTGAGGGTTGTGTTGCCAAGCTTTCATAAGAAGCTTTGATGCCTGCATTTTCAAGGTGGGATTCTAGTCTCCTATTTGAAGCATCCCATTTGATAGCCTTTGTGAGCCAAATACGTGGTTAACAAGGTGTAATGACAGGGTCAGTGAGCACCTTGGTTTAACGAGCTTTACATTTGACATCAACTAGTGCATCTCCTGAGGCTGTGCAGCGATGTCCCTCGCCAGAGTTATCTCTGACCAGCAGCAGTGGGCAGGTCCTTCATGGGAAGCCAGAATTGCTGGGACTTTGACCTATGATCTGGGTCAAAATTTCTCTGTGTGCTTTGATTTAGTTCCTTTGATCATAAAACTGGGGTGTGCTCATGCTGCAAGCATCTTTTGTGACCTGTGAGACCCAGTGCTCAGGTGGGATTGAGCGGTTGAGCAGCCTGGAGGTGAAGCCAGGGGAAGAGGAGGAGGTTTGGTGGGGCGAAGGAGGTGATGGCAGGCAGTGGGCAAGGCAGGCTGTGCAGATTTACTGTGTTATGGATGGTGTGGAAGCACCTACAGCCATCTCACAGGGTCCTGCTCTTCGTTGCAGTGCCATGGGAACAGTGGTGCTGGATGGCCAGATCTACGTATGTGGCGGATATGATGGAAACTCATCCCTCAACTCCGTGGAGTCCTATTCTCCAGAAACAAACAAGTAAGAGCTCTTCAGGCCCTACAGCTTATCCATCTGTTTGCTGCTAGGGTAGTGCCGTGCCATGGCATTGCTGGCCGTCTGGGCTGTAAAAGGAACCCAGTGAACGATGTGGGAAAGCCTTTGTATCCTGACAGCAGAGCAGCATCCCTCCTCACAAGAGTTTACCTGGATGCAAGTGAACAAAACCATGGTTTAAATAGGCGGTGAAAGGAGAATTACTGGAACCCAGTCCTAGAAAATCCAATAGAGTTGAAATAATCTATGGGCTGTGTGTGTGCCGTGCCTGCAGAACCCTTGCTAACCTCTCCCCTCTCCCGGCAAGGTGGACAGTGGTGACCCCCATGAGCTCCAACCGCAGCGCCGCTGGAGTCACCGTGTTTGAGGGCCGGATCTACGTATCAGGAGGGCACGATGGTCTCCAGATCTTCAACAGCGTAAGTCTGCGGGGTGTGGCTTTCTGCAAGCCTTGTGCAGAAATTAATCTACTGCAGGTAGCCAAAAGGTCAGGATGGGGCTAGGAAGGCTCTGTGCCCTTTCCCTGTGCACCCAAAGTGCCATAAATGTTTGCACCACCAAATTCTGTCATTTCCAGGGCCACCCTTCTTGCTCAGGAAGAAATGAGCTAGCCAGGTACCCACTGGGAACTGGACTGGAAGTGCTGTTCTTGTTCCGCAGCACCAAAAGGATTGAGCTGCTGCTCAATCAACTGCTGCGGGTTTGTTGTCTCCCCACTTCCTTCACTTTTAAAATTATTTTATCATTGCATCCCTGTACCTTTGAGCTGGGAAGTATCCCAGATGTCAGGCTTTTACCTTTGCTTTCTGTGCCTGTTTGATGGCTTCGGTTTCAGAAGCAGATTATCTCTGAAACAAGCTTTGCAGCAGGGGGAGTTGGTGGTACAAGGCCAGCTTGCCCTCTTCCACCTGCCCTGCATTTCAGTTTTCTGCCTGTTCTGTAAAGAAAAACCTGATGTGGAACAGAAAAGGCTCGTTGAACCACTCAGGAGCGAGAATGCGGGGAGCTGTATCTGAATTGGATCTGTTACCAATGCACCGCTCTCAGAAATTTATAATAAAGGGTTTGTTGGGAGCAGCAATAACTATTTCTGCCTTGCTCAGCAGATCAGGGGCAGGCTGTTGTCTGCAGCCTGGAGTACCCCAGAGCCAAGAACTACAAATCTGCTTGTCTAAGCACATTCCTGAGCATGACGAGTTTGGAGCAGTGCTGGAGCCCTTGCAGAAGTGTTCCATCTATTGGTCTCCCTAGAAATGCAAGGGATAAAAAATGGTGGTTGTCTGGGTTTTTTCTCTCCCAGAGGTGCCAGATAGCCCTTCTACAAACATACAGGGAGGAGATGCCAGCCTCTTCCGAAAGCAGCAGAGGTTACTGCACAGAGGAAGGGAAGAAACCCTACCCTTTGCCGCAGGGTGCGGGATGTAAGCTTGAACTGTGTCAGGAGTGGTGGTCATCTAACATGAGAAACTGGAGAGTTTGAACTGTTACAGTTGAAATCTGCTGCGGGGGGATAGCAGGAAGTCTCACTTAAGGTTAGGGAACACTTAGGGGATCATTAAGGACAGCTTGGACATGCACCTCTTAGGTCTGACAGAGCTTTGGCTGGTTCTGCCTTGGGGCAGCGGTACAATCTCGTGTGCATGAGGAAAATTAACATATTGCAATCGAGACGCAATCCCGTGGCAGTTGAACTCTTAATTGAAGGATGCTCAATCCTTTTGGTGCTGAGGCTCAGATACTGGTACTGTGCAGAAGCTGACGAAAGGGGAGAGAGGTAGAGGGAGCATCTTCAAAGCTGCATTTGCTGTGGTCTCTGCAGCATATCAGGTGGGGAGAATGGTCTCTCCCCACATTCACCTGCTCCAGCTCACCGATGAGTTACTGGGCTGAGGTCAGAGGGAGTGGGGTGAAACACAACGGCTGGTGGGATCCAGGATGTGAGAAAAGCTTAATAACGATACAAAATACGAAGGTATGAAACCAAGAAACAAAACCCAAGTTCCCCAGTCGGCTTCCAGTTGCGTGTTGAAACAGTCTGCGTGATCTGTGCCGTGTGGTAGGTCCTGAGCGAGGGTCCCCTAACGCCGTGTGCTCTCTGTGACTGCAGGTGGAGTACTACAACCATCACACAGCCACCTGGCACCCGGTCGCCAGCATGCTCAACAAGCGGTGCCGCCACGGAGCAGCCTCGCTGGGCAGCAAGATGTTCGTCTGCGGAGGCTACGACGGTTCAGGCTTCCTCAGTATCGCCGAAGTCTACAGCTCCATGGCAGATCAGTGGTACCTGATCGTCCCTATGAACACCCGGAGGAGCCGCGTCTCTCTCGTTGCAAACTGTGGCCGTCTCTACGCTGTGGGGGGTTATGACGGACAGTCCAACCTCAGCTCGGTGGAAATGTATGACCCGGAGACAAACCGCTGGACGTTCATGGCCCCGATGGTGTGCCACGAGGGAGGGGTTGGTGTGGGCTGCATACCCCTCCTGACCATCTGAGAAGAAAGCGTTTGGGGGGGCTGTCTTTTCAATGACAATCCGGGGAGCGGTTCAAAGAGTGTTTCATGATGTGATAGCCGCAGAGGTGCATTTCCAGGTGCTCAAGTGTTATTCACACAAAACTTGACAAAACAATCCCCACCCTTGGCTTTTTGGGCTGAGGCTCCTGAAAGATCGAACATGTTGAAACGTGATGCGTCTACGTGCTGGTGGAGCAAGGACCTGCCTGCCTCCCTCCGCCACCTGTTACCCTTTGCTAGGAGCTGTGGCTAAGCGAATCCTTCCTCTCGCCGTTGGTTTTCCAAATAGCCCTGCGGTCTGCTCTCGGCTGCACCTTTGGGAAGTGCCGTTGTAGGCTGGGGGAGGGGGGGGCAAGTTTAATTGCGACATAAAAACGGCCACTTCAGTGACTTTGAAAATACATTTGCGCCTTCCATCAGCAGCAAAGTGACCCCGATACCCCGAGGGTTGGGTCAGTGATGATGTTTGGGTGTCATGGTTGCTTGCTGCTGGGCATGGGCAGCTCTCACCTGGCTTATTGAAACGGAAAAAACCCACCAGTGTCGGTTCCCGGACCACATCCAGGCTCTGCGTTTTAAGGTTCTTCTTACACAAGACATCACTGGCTTCTCGAAGCAGAGCTGTGCTTTCTTCAGCTCGATGGGGAAAACTTCTCCACAAGAGCCACATGATGGAGAAACTAGGAAGAGGAAAACTGGTCGGTTAAACCATTGAATCATTTTAGCAAGCCTTGGAGAAGGCTGAACGTAAATGATACTAAGCAACAGTCAGGATTTCAAAATGGAAAATAGGCCAAGGTGTTAATTATAAAGATGTCCCTTAAATTAAATATTGATCAATTTTCAAGTCAATGTTTAAGAGGCAGCTGGAGCGGAGCATGGCCAGGATTTTTCAGGAGATGCAAGAAAACTACGTCTCGAATTTGTCAGCTCTGGAAGCGCACCACTGTGCTGATGCAGGGACCCCCTGTCCCTGGGGGCGGGAAGAGGGACGGCTGCCCAAGCGAGGCTGTTTTGGGCAGCACAGGCAGAGAAATCCCACACAGGGATGTGGGGTGAGCATCCCTGCAAAGGGCCAGGGGGAAAATGGTGCGTTGGCAGAGCCAGCGCAGCCGTGGCACGGGCAAGATCTGTGCCTTTTGGTATTTTCTGGTTTGCTACGCTGGGAAAGGTCTTTGTGGTTGGTTTTGTGCCGGGAAACTTTCTGTGACCGGGCTGAAGCAGTTGCCTGCCGTGAAGCGGTACACAGGCAGCGCGGCAGCTCCCTGCCTGGGACACCCTTGCCTGCATCAGCTCTTCAGCGCTTCTCTTGCATGAATTCGAACCGCCATCCCTCCAGGGCTCTCTTCCATGCCCGTGTCCTCCCGTGCCACCCTTCGGCAAAGCCATACCTCTTCACCGCTGTTGAAGTGGCCGGCGGGCAGGCAGGCAGGGACGGGCAGGTGCAGGCAGGCACAGGCTGCTGCCACCCCTGCCTGCTCAGGCAGGAGGAACTTGACACTAATCCCGCCGGCAGTGACAAAGGGATGGGGATCTCACCCTTCATCCTGCCCAATCCCAGTGTTTCGGGGGGCTTGGAGCCTGCCCCTCCTCTTCCCCACCTTGCACCGAGCCAGGGGGAGCTGGATGTTCACCCCAGACCCCAAACCCAGACCCCCACACTTGTTCATACCTGAATCCCAGCGTCGCTCGGGATTTTAACTTTGGGTGTATATGTGGATGTCTATATATTCAGGTACTATGTATATTTTAGGTATATATAATGAGCATATCTGGCTATAAATGTGATTTGTCAGTATATATCTATTTCCTCCATGTATATGTATATCAGCTGCTGGGTTCACTGGAGGGGGAATTCATTTGGGGTTTCCATGCTGCTAAGACTCTTTAAAAAGGAAAAGAAAAAAAAAAAAAACAAAACACCCACGAACATTGGAATCAAAATGAAGTTGCTTTTCGGGCCGTGAATTGCAGAAATAACTGAGCTGGAGCTGCAGTGGGGTCTTTGCAGAAGGACCAGCCTCCGTCCCTTCGAAGGGAACGTCCGTGCCCTATTTTTCCATCTCTCTGCCCGACTTCCCCCTGGCTCGAGTGCTGCTGGGGAGGAATCCTGCAGCTCACGCTCCCATGGCCTCGGACCTGCCTCTTATCTCCCACCCCGTAGCATCTTCTCTTCTCCAGGACATGTCCTTCTGATGGTCACCTTGCGCAGAGGAGGCTTTGATCAGCATGGGGCTGCTCTCCCGGCGTGCCGTTGTCCCATCTTGTGTCCCTTCTTCCTCCCAGCTGGGGCTTCGTATCCGTAAGAATGTGAATATTGGATCAAATACACTTGCAAGAGCAGCGGCTCCAAGACCTGCTAAAGCTGGGGCTGTTGATGACCCCCAGGCTCCCAAGCTGATGCTCAGCAGCACGGTGGTCCCAGGGGACTCAGATGTCCCCCAGCCGCACTGCTGGAGCTCCCCAGGTTTCGTTCCCTGGGGATTTCTTTGCTTTTACTTTGTGGATGAACCAAAGAGAAAGGGGAGTGCCTGGCCCTTCAGCAAGGCTGCAGCACCTCCATCTTCAGGCCCCAATCTGCTGGTGTCTGTAAGGTGACAGAAAAATAATGAATTTTGGGGAAACAAGCCCTGGTCACCCGGGGAATGTAAGCTCCTGGGAGAGCGTGATCAGCTCCATGCAATGCTTGGTAGATCCTGTGTCCTCAAATTCAAGGAAAACCACAAAATTTTGCAAAATGCATTAAAGATCCTCATAACATACCGGCACGTTTCTGTGTCCGCAAACCATGCTGCGCTCCCCACCCATTGCCCTCGCACCGGGGAAGTGCCCGGGGTTTTTGCTGCACTGCTTCTCCCCCCTGCACACACCAACCCCTGTCCCCACCCCAAAAGGGCACTTTTACTGTCACTTAACCCTTTTTATATTAAAACCAAGAGAAATTCATCTCCTGGCTGGCTGGTGTGGTGTCTTTGGGCAAGGTGGGGAGGGTTTCTGGGCGTGATGGCTTGATCTGTCTGGGGATGGGGTGTTTAGATGAGTCTGAGCTCTGAGCAGAGCTAGAGGAATTTAAAAAAAACCCCAAAAACTGGAAAGAAAGAGGGAGAGGGGAGGGAGCTCCTGATTTTTCTCTCCATAGGAGCCAGGACGATGCTCTCACTCCCAGCTCGGGAGGAGCGGGATGTCAAGCGTGGCTGGATGGATCCCAGGGGCATCGGTATTACCATCGTGTCCTGAAATCGGGAGCGGATGAAGGGAAGGGGCCGCGGATGGGGGATCGGCCCTGCCGAGGCTCCGACATCGCCGCATCCCCACCAGGTCCGGGCGAGCGCCTGCCACGGCACCGCGCCAAGGAAAACACCGGCAACCCGATCCCTTCCCCACGGCGGCGGGGGCCCGGTGTTTATCCTGGAAGCGAAGCTGGCCGAACCGGGGGGCCCGAGCCGACAGCAGATTCCATCGTCCTCCCGCTTTTCCCTTGGCCACATGGCGCTGGTGCTGGGAGCCGTGTTGCTGGCGGCGAGCGCCGCGGTCCCACCGGCGCTGCCGGCTCCCCGCGACCTGGCTCGTTCGGTGCTGGAGACCCACGGGCAGGAGCTGAGGCTGCTCAAACTGCTGGGAGTCACCAGGACGGTAGGAGAGGGGTGGGCGATACGGTGGGTGCAGCTGGGTGTCCCCGGCTCGAGCACCCATCCCGGTGAGGACCCCTTTCTCCGCCGGCGTCGGGAAGCCACCGACGGCTCCGTCCTTTTCCCCCCCCGGCAGATATTCGACTGGGGCACCCATTTCAGCATCAACTTCACCGCCCGGCAGCCCGCCTGCCCCAAAAACCTCCCTGACCGCCGCGGTGCCGGCTGCCAAGCCCGGCCGGGCAGGGTAAGCGTGGAACCGGGTTGTGTCCCCCCCCCCAAAACATGGGAGGGGACAGAAAGGTGTCCCCGAGATGCTCAGGGTCGCTACGTCCCCCAGGTACAGCGGTGCACGGCCCAGGTCTCCGTCTTCACCTTCCTGCCCGACGTGCCACTGTCGATGGTGGAGTGCGGCCAGGAGCCGGTGAGGGGGACGGTGGTGGGGACGTGTGTGTGTGTGTCCCCACTCACTTTGGGGACATTTTTTGGCCACAGGGTGAAGCCCACCTTTATTTCTCCCCCCAGCAGCCTGGCAGCAGCACCCAGTCCCACTCTCCCAGTGCCCCACGAGCCTTCGGCACCAACCCAGGTCACCCATCATCATCGTCATCGTCCTCACGGCCACCCCAGCGTCCTCGGACCCCCACTGGCGCGTCCCTCCAGGGGACATCCCACCGCCCCCTGTCCCCAACAGAGCTGGAATAAAGATATTTTCGGGGTCTTACGTGTGCATGGGTGACATAGGTTGGGGGGCGGGGGGGGCACCCCCCGGCGTTGGGTAACAGGGATGGGGCAAGCCTGGGGTTGTGCAAACCCGGGGGGGCACCAACCTGACACGGGCAACGTTCCCGGTGTCACCCTCATCCCTGCGGGTCCCTGCGCTGCCCCGTCCCCCCCCAGGGGCTTGCGGTCCCACAATTCCCCCCCCCCATGCCCAGCCAAGGGGCTCCCGGGCTGGGGGACACCCCGGGCAGCGGGGCTGTGTCCCCGAGGGGAACCAGAGATGCCCCCATCTGCATGCGGGAGATGATCAGGACCCTTCAGGACCCCTGCCTTGCCTTGTCCCCCCCCCAAAAAAACTGCCACTCTGTGGGTTGGTGCCAGGCGTTTCCGGAGGGGGGAGCCGAGCCCCAGGGCGGGTTCCCCAACATCTTGTGGGGGATAAAAGGGGATACGGTGGGTGGCCATGGGGACAAGGATGCCGAGCTCCTGGGTGCTGGTGCTGGCGGTGCTGGGGGGGGCCTGCGCCCTCCCCGCCCCGGCCCCCCTCACCTACACCCAGGTGCTGGCTCAGGCCATTGACTCCTTCAACC